ATCTGAAGTACCAATTTATGGTCGCCTGAATATGGAAAATTCATCACATTTACATAAAAAAAGTAAGTATGTCGGACGTGATTCTAAAGACAGCAAAAACAGGAACAGAAACTAAATCAACCTGTAGTGAAAAAAAAAACTATTTGAAAAAATAACATACAATAGCGGAAGTAATTTAAAGAAGTGATGAATTATGAATTGCAATCGTCCTTTACAGTTACCAGAGGATAAACACATGTATGTACAATTTTATTCAAAGATACCCGAGATTATGATTAATTTATCATAATTTATTTTTATTTTTAACTGATCTATATAATAGATGAAAATGTATCAGTAACAGCATTGCTGATTGCATTTTTTGTTAACTATAATAACAATAAGTTTTAATAAAGGATATTTCATTGACAAAATCATCGAAATTGCCGTGTACCCAGGTACTTATTGCAGAACCTGTTAAAAATATCACAACACATACTTATATTAATAAGCCTTTAGTCTGACAGCAACTTGTTGTTTTATCTTCTACAAATATCAGCAGTTCTTAACCTTTTCCGAAACAAAATACAGTCTGCTCTAATTTCAACACTTGAAAACCTTACAATAATTTTCTGTGACACCAAAGCATTGAGAAACAAAAAGAAAAGGAAAATCTTCCATCTTTACCCCTTCGGAATCGTTGTACAAAAGCAAACAGACATTGCAGTTTCTTATAGCAGGGTTGAAAGCGAAATGTAAACAAAAGTAGTCGCATTGTTTGGGAAGACAAAACGCAGGGTCACACCACTAGCAACCGAGACAAAAGATGTGTTCCAAATAACGAACGGCTTATTTCATCTGTAACACATTGTAGGAAACTAAACGAGCAGACGGATCACCTGATGGTAAGCAATTGGCGTCGCCCATGGACACCTGGAACACCAGAAGCGTTACAAGTGCGTTACCGGCCTTTTGGGAATTAGGAGTTTGAGGATTGTTGGGGATTCGGGGATTGGGGAGATTGGGGAAAGGGGAGGGAGCTGGGCGTCCGGTAACCTCACTCACACGACGAAACACAATGCAAGCGTTGCTTTTGCTTCACGTCGGTTTTCTGTGAGGCCGTGGTATCACTCCGGTCGACCCGGCCCATCCGTGCTGAAACATGGCTCTCCCACACTTAAATAATAATTATATTCTCTATTGTTTCAAAAAAGTTTGTAAAAGTTAGTTTTTATAATAAACTAGCTTCTGCTTGCGATTTCGTACGCGCAATCCCATTTTTTCCCGTTCCCGTTTGTGATTTTTGGTAAAAAGCAAAAAAATATTATGCTATGTCCGTCTCCTTTTTCTAATCTATCCAAACCGATTTCCATCCAAACCGATTTAGTAGTTCTTAAGTTATTAATAGTGTAACTAACACGATTTTCTATTATATATGTAACGGTGTATGAGTCAAGTGGAGAATTTGTTAATTTAAGTTAGGAAGATTTAATGTTTTAGTTTTTTTTTTATATTGCGTATGGCAATAAGAGTGGGTAACACCGAATGAGTTTGCGTCAGTTTTTCTGATGATGGAGAATTAGACAGGAATGGGGTAGACGACTAATTTTTATTTTAATGTCCGTCTGATAGATTATTTAAAAACATTAGACACGTATTTTTTATTTTCTCACAGAAACGAATAGTTTCGAAGATATATTGATTTGAAATGTCGCGTGACGTCACTTCTCAGTACATTTTATACTAAGGAATGACGTTTTAGCCCCCACTCCTAAACTTTGATTCGTTTTATCTAAGTATTGTTTTATTATACGACAAAATAAAAAAATACGTGTCTAATATTTTTTCATTACCTAACTTACGCGACTAATTATATTTTTAATTTTCATACCCTGTCATCATCCCCATTAGATAGGATTGTTGATGGGTTGTCCGTAGAAACCAAGGCAACTCCATTTGCTCTTGTACTTTTGAATAAAAAATCTTTTAGTTCCGTACTTAATACTGTTCAATAATAGACAAATTAATACACAAACAACCAATTTTATCGTTGTACTTCATTTCTTATCAAAACAAACCAACCGAACCAACCACTACCAGCGAATTGACAGAAGAACAAAATAATGCAGGCCTCCCTATTCTCCGATATATGTATATATATTGATTAATTATAATTATTATTTTAATTTATTAACAGAATTTTCCCTGGTGCTGAAGTCTGTTACATCTGAAAGGGGTCCAGAAATACAGACTCTGACTAGGAGATTCTCTAAATAGTTCCCTTATAAGGAAACTCAAAGGAAACAAAAAATATTTTTATTTTTTGATGGCGAAAAGTACGTGTGATGATAGAAAGGTTAGTGGGGAAGGGACGAAGATGACTGGTTAAAAGAATATATGTAAAAGAAAATAAAAAGGACATGAGGAAACCAAGTTGCGAAATTCTTCTGCTCACAGACTGAAATGTTTCCAATAACAAATCAGGACCGAATAAATCAAACAGGTCTTTCAATTAAAACCCTTAACCGCCTTCGATATAAAAACTACTACATACTGATTAAGCCTCAGCTATTAATTCTCGATTTTTCTTGTCTGAACATTTCCGAATGCAAAATTCAGCTCCAAAAAGTTTCAAAATGGTGTTTAATATTTCACGTAAACTGAAAGGTGAACGATTTTTCAGTCAATCGTTAATTAAAGTCGAGTTTTAATTAAATGATGATTTATATATTATGGGAAGGATAGGTGAAATGAGCAATTTTCTGACGTACTTATAAGTTTAATTGTTTTTTTAACCTTCATTCTTTCTTTTATCTTTCTATCTGTACCTTTGGTATTCCACAAATTATTTCAGAGTAAACTTCAATGCTTACACATTATTGCAATCCCAATTCTATTAACCGATGGGACCAACTAGACGATATTAAAACTTTTTAATCTATATGGAAAAAAGTTACGCAGATAAAAACTTTACTGGACGATGTGAAAGGTAAAACATCATATTGTTAGTCCCATATTCTGAACTAAGTTTTTACATGGACATTATTTACTTTAGACCCTTTAAAACAAAAGTTTTGACTTGACATGTATATTGTGTATAAAAGTAGGTCAGTAATGTTTTCTTTTTAAATTTCTCGCTTTTTTTTCAATTTATACCGTATTTAGTACCTGTTTCTTAACATTTATTATTAGGTAACTGAATTGTGAAAATGCACCAAGACTGAGAGGGTTGTCGTGAATTTACAAGTATTGGCTTGTTGCCACAACAGAGGAACTGTTTCTGTTATTTTGACGCGGGAGCCAAAATTTTCTTTTTCGGCTAATTCAAAATATCATATATTCATCTATAATATTCTAAACAAACTTTTTAGGAGTAAAATGATGCGAGTCATTCGTCGAGTGGCTGCAAGGGCGACTGCCAAGCAACCGATCTTAGTTCCAACTCCCGGGTCAGGCCACAAAAGCATTATTTTATTTGCATTTATTTTTCAATAAAATAGCACGTGATATGGTATAAAGGTACCTCCTATTACTTGAAACTCACAACCTAACTGGTGAGGAGTCAGTAACACTGACATGTAATTATGAAAAGCAAGTTAACTGTGTTGAATCCATTAAGCAGACTTAAACGGTGTGTCGAGTCACACGGGAAAATTTCAACATTTTCCAGGAATAATCCCACACATCATCATTAAATATCACGTCATCAATCCAGTCTCACGTTCCGCCATCGAACATCACATTACGTCAGCCATCATTCACGGTGACCACGCTTAGCACCGGACTTTGATGAATATCGCTATTGGATAGACCAATTGTTGCCAATTTGTTAGTGGTCGGATCCATATTACATTGTTTACTGAATTAATGGTAGCAACAAAGCCTCTGTTAAACCTGTGCCTGACGGTGAAAATGATTTACTGATGGCAGCAAGCGTTGTTCGTGAGACGACAAATCATTTTAATAGTTTGGCGCGTTGATGAATTTTTGAGCGCAACGTCAATTTTTTTAACGCCTAGCTGTTTCTATGCATAGTGCTATTAAAAACGCAATATCCCCGATTTATCGCGCATAGAATAAATATATCAAAGCTCAGTGTCCTTATTTCCAAAAAGTATCTTTGGAGTATCGCACCACACTCAGTGAATGACAATGATCTGGCATCTTTATGATGAGAACATATGAACCAGCTTCCACCAAGCGATTAAACAGTTCCCTTATCGAAAGTATTGCATCACTAGAGTTGTAATTTTAACTCATTTGCTGTATGAAGAGTATAAGGAATAAATGAAACAACCTCAGGAAATTGAACAAAACTGTATTTATGGTCATAATTATTAAGTACATACAAAAAAATAAGTAGAAAAACAACGAAATAAAATATTCAAACATGTGCAGTAAGCGTGAACCGTCATAAAATAATTTCCGTCCATAATACTGGTACACATTATGTACAATTATGTACATTATTATTATTGCGACCGCTGACAGTCAGCTCAGCACAATGTGCGCCAAATATCAACCATTGTAATTATATACGATAGGATTAATTTATAGTTAGGGTGATGCCCAAGTAATTAAATGTATGTGGGGTTAGGAATTTGGCATCACATGTTAAACAAATGGGTAGGGGTATCAAATTTGTATGGCGAATTAGTAGGTGTGAAATTCGTATTGTTATGTTTATTCTCAACAAAACAAGCTTTAGTGTATTCACTATGTAAATCACATGAATATTTCTCTCATTCTGTCACTATTTCCTGAAAGACATAGCGGCAGAAGATAGAAGCATAGTACTCAAAATAAGTTATTAAATTGACTTAGCAGACAAACAAACGGTAAAAATCAACTCGTACAACAATTTTCTCGCAATATAAAAAAGAAAAAGTAGCACCCGGTATATAAAAGCGTTCTATCCATTGATTCGTAAAATCCCAAAGCCGGAAAGATGTTATCTGTTACCACAACGGTTGAACCCTGCGGTATCATTCCATCAGTATTTTTAGGTATTTTATTTGGGCATGCCGCTCAAAATGTTTGTTAATAAATACATTACATTTCATACAATCTGTGCTGTATATTATGTAGTTGTAGTTGGGCAACAAGAGAAAGGTATGTCATAAAACTCAATTGAAATAAAAAAAACTGTCATGCATAGATAAGTAACTGACTGCAGCCGTTATAAGAAAATTACATCTGCCACATTAGCGGATAAACTATTTTCCAACTGCTTAATCTTGCTCGTTCTTCTCAATTTGAATCTACATTTTGGAACGAGCACTATCTTCACTGACGGACAGACTGAAAGACTATTATTTATTTTGTACTTGCTGACGTTCTAAAAAGTACCAAATTATGGTTTAAGCGAAATAAATGCTTTCCGACTTTATCTTTGACTTTGATGAAAAAAGTATTGCGATATAAAAAAAAAACAACTGAGTAAACAATAAAAACACGTTTAAATTCATAAGACATTAAATCTTACAAACAAAATTCTTTACTTTATAATAAACAGTATCAGAATTTCCACAGTCGGTGACCTTAATACATTTTCCGACTCCACAATTCTTAGGTAAATATTCCTTAATTCCGATAAAATCGAACGGGCTTATATTCCCTCGTAAAATTACAATAAAGCCATAAGTCCATTTACAGACTTAAGCTAAATTCAGCGGAAAATCGGACTACTGAAAGGAAACTTTATTTTATATCGAACTACGTGGTTGTAATAATCTCGAAATTTCTTATTATTTGACGGTACCTAAACCTGTTCACTGTTACATGTGTGTTTAGTCTGTATCATCACTAATTAGTAAGTAGTGGCCCCCTTACTATAATGTGTTATATAAGGACACACGTCAGTAACGTCGCTGTCTACCTGTCATAGTCTGGTGTGTTTTGGTTGGTGGCACATTATTGTAATAAATCCAAGTAAAATAAATCCGACTATAATTAATCAATCCAGCAACATAGGTGTCAGAAGTGGGTTTGATTAATTAGAATAATTGAATTATATTACACTACAACCGATATTTAAATGCCTTGTTCAACACAGAAAGCAAATTCGGCGAGATAGTAAAGAGAACAGTTATCGCCGCTGCACATACATGTATGGACCATGTCAACGCCACAGCCAAAGACCTGGAGCACCTCCGTGATGAGCCACCCTATCCAGAAACATCAGCTTGCATCGTTAAATGCTTACTTGAAAAGGTAAAATGTAATTTTTTTACGGAATATCTGATGGTAAGCAATCAGCGCCGCCTATGGACACCAATGGCAAGTATCCTGTAAGTTCTAAATAACATATCAGGTAAGGGTTAAATTGTGTATTTTGTTTTGGCTTAAGAGCCCTGGTATGGTCTAAAACGAATCGGTATTATTCTCAAAAAAATGTATTAAATGTATTAGAGTTATCTATCGATCTTATCTATATCTATACATAATAATAAAATCGTAAAAAGTGAAAATTATACATTGAATACTGTTATAAAAAAAATGCTTGGGGCGTCTACAATCGATACCGAAGCCAAAAATATGGTGTATATAATTTTTGTCTGTTTGTCTGTATGTATGTCCGGGATGACCTCATAAAATGCTGCACAAATTTACTTTAACTTTTGCATAAATATGACAGGTCGGGTCAACATATAGGCTACATATTATAACGCTATCACCTACGGGAATGGAACTGGGAATCACTTTTCCACGCGGACGAAGTCGCTGGCACAGCTAGTCCATAGATACATAGATAGTACGATTTACAGCAATGACTATTATTCATATAGAATTTTCTTAATTATATTAAAGTTTGCAACTGTATTTGTGATACCAGATTAACTTATTATCTTAAAAACATACATACACATAACATCACGCCTTTTATCCGCGAAGGGGTAGGCAGAGGTGCACATTATGGCACTTAATGCCACTGTACAATGTAACACCCACTTTTCACTATTTAAACTGTCAAACACCAAGCGGTCACCGGTGACCGCGACCTATTGTTCTTTAATTGTGTCTATAAAACCGGTACTCGACGAGTTAAGTTATGAGTCCCATGTAATAGGGGGTGAGCCTATTGCCATATACTGGGCACAGTTCCAGACTCCGTGCTACTACTAAGGTTTTACAAACCCAGTAATACTTTGCCCGACCCGGGAATCGAACCCGAGACCCCTTGCCCGGCAGTCGCACTTGCGACCACTTGGCCAATGAAGCAGTATCTTAAAAACAATTTTATGTTTATTTTAATTAAATACAAGGATACTGTGTCATTCTCTGACTTTCAACCTATGCTTGTATATGTAACTGTTCTTCCAGAATAAAACGGTTAAGCACAACTTAATAATATTTTGTTATCCTACAGATCGGTGTTGTGAAAAGCAACAGATATTCGAAAATGGGTTTCATGACCGCCGTAACACCTCTAGTGTTCACAAACAAAAAGAAAATGGAACACATGAAAACAGTATCGGAAAACTGCGACAAAGAGGTAAATATTTATGGTTCAAATATTTATGACGATGCTGTGGGACGTTCTGGACACTGTGTAATTTATTTATCGCTTGGAAAACCAACAGCTATACAATTTGATTTGGTAAATGTATGTAATATTCATATACTCTTATCTATGACGTGTGTTAGAGTGAGACACGTAAGTAAATAACTAGAAAAAAGTATCATTTAAAAATTAGTTTGATACTATTGCTTCACATTACATCATCACATCAACAACTTTTAAATGCCCACTGCAGAGCATCTTCTTACAAGGAGAAGGTTTGAGCATTAATCACTACGCTTGCTTAATGCGGGTTGGCTATTACAGACTGATAATTACAAATGATAAGCCTAAATTTCTTCACCCACTAAATAATATTAGAAAGTACATATAACTCAGAAAAAGTCACATTGGTAATTACCGTTGGTAGGTTTTGAACCCGCACCCTCATGCATGAGAAGCGGGCATCTCAACCTCCGGGCAAACACGACAAACCATTAATTACAGCTTTGAAAAAAAAAACTCAATTGTTTTTTTTAAATATAAGTACCTATCTACTTAAATTACTTGAAAGTGTTATGTGATTTATTCAACATTAACATTACCATGTTAGTTTTGCTTAATAAATTTATTTATTAAGCTATGTACGCTTAATACATTTATTTATTAAGCTATGTACGCTTAATACATTTATTTATTAAGCTATGTTATAAAAAGGCTGTATGTTTCAGGTAAATCACAAACATGAGACGCCATGTCAACTCGGGAATGAGGTCACTACATGCATCTTTAAATACGCCCCCGAGCTACATTTTAAGTCTTAAGTGTGAGAGAGTAGCAACACACCGTTTTGAGAATGTATTTAATACACGTACAGGAAAATTAAATTAATGTTAACTTTATTAAGGATTTTCTTATTATTAAATAAACTTTCAACTTCATCGTTATTGTCAATTTAAGTGATTATTTCATAATCTTCACAAATAAACAGTACGTTTTTAAACTTGATTTTTTATACACATTTTAACTAGAACTTTCGAAATAGAAATAAATAAATAGTGCCTAGTTATTATGTAATTTATACTTTTGGTAATAATTATAGATGTAGTTAATTGTAGTGTGTAACTAGGTTCCCTCTTTACTTTATAGAAATTACATATTCCTACAGTAATAATAATTTTGTCACAATAATAAAATTTTTTTTCCACGATGGTGGCAAAACATTCACTCGGCCCACCTGATGGTAAGTGGTTACCGTGTGGCCTATGAACGCTTACAACACATAGGGCATTACATGCGGCGCCTTGCCGACCCTTAATAAATCTATTTACTCCTGATGAAATGGTGTTCTTCCATATATGGAATTTTTTTAAAATTTTTTTTTGCCCCACACTAGGATTTTGTCGCGGAGAACCTAACGGGTTACCGGGGCTCCGGCTCGACGTGCAGAAGATGGAACGGGGTGGTTTTTAGTCAGTAAGAGTCTGACACTCCCCCTCGCCTCATTCAGGCGGGAGCAGTCGTTCGATGATTTCCCCCCTTAAAAGAAACACTAGGATTTTCTCCTGTGTCGTAGGTACGTTTACAAACTTACAAGTTCACATACACATGACACCCAGACCCGGAAAAACAATCTGTGGATCACACAAACAATTGTTCCGTGCGGGAATCGAACCGTTAATATGGGTTAATGATAATCAAAATGAAATAGAACCATGCTTTAGTTATCCTATAGAAATGAAGTCATTAATCAAATTGGACTGTATTTCTAAAAACCATGCCAATTTCTAGAAACCTTCAAATGTAATGTAGCTAATATAATATTTTTTTATTATTTCTTCAAGAATGTAATGAAAATGTAAATTTGTCACGTGACGTGTAAGCCGTGCGTGACAAGAGTAAAGATTTTGAATGCCCAGAGAGTATTTGTTAATCTTTCTGAAGGGAATACTAAACAATGTTTTCGTACAATAATAATATTTTTACTCAAGGGTAGTTTTCTATACCTACTACAAACTAATTTACAATTTATATTACCACCATCATGAGCCTATAAGTAGCCACTGCTGACCAAAGAAATCTTGCAAGGATAAGGTTTGAGCATTAATCAACACGCTAGCTCAATACAGGTTGGCGATTCTAAACTAATAATTAGAAATTATTAGGCCTAGGTTTCCTCATGATGTTTTCCTTCACCGTTTCTCAGTGGTGTTTAGATAATTACAAAGTACATATGACTCGGAAAAAGTCACATTGGTACTTGCCTTTGGTAGGTTTCGAACGCGCACTTTCATGCCTAAGAAGCGGTTGTCTTAAACCTCCGTGTCACCACGACATTATAGGTTCTTGATTGATTATATACATGATTTTAAAATTTGAGACATTGATGCTAAAAATGAGTACCTATCTACATTGGAGATTTGAAGATGACTTATAGAGGTACAATCAATTAGGAAGTTATTTAAAAAAATGATAATGTTTCGACAAACAAAATTTCGGAAATATACATAGAAATATAGCACAAGTCAGCGTTACTGTAGACAGAAGTTAAAAACTATGAAAATAAGAAACTATCAAAACAAGACAAAATCTATGCATCTATAATCTAGTCGAATATACGTGATATATTCAAAATCCTGAGGCGCTAACATACACACACTGTTTGACATGAGTCAACGTTACTCATGAAATATTTCGGTACTAGGCAGTTGCTTTGGACTGGCTAACATCAAGACGCATGTATACTTTTTATTTAAACCCTTTTCACGCCTTTGGTGTTATACCTAGGTTGACTATTAATCTACTGGCAGCAGTAAGAAATAGTTTCAACCCTAATCAAAAATATTAAAAAACGATTCACTACTGAATATACATAGCTAAGTCTTCCCAACTACCTAAGTAGGTGCAAAGATGTCTATAAAATTGTGTCCATTGTTAGCAGTAATTATTTTTCCTATTTTGAAATCTTATTAAGAAATACCAACTTTAATTTATGGCAAAATAAATCTTATAAAAACAGTGCTAAGATTTAAAATAACCTAAAAAAGGAAGGTGTTACGATGACTTTTAGTATCCAAAAAACGCCATAAAATACTAAGGGCCCGGGCGTCGAAAATATCACGACACTGCCCATGAACCACTAAGAAGTGTCAATATTTTGATAGCTGTAACTAAGTAGAATGCCAAGAAGTCGAGATAAGTAAACATTTACACAATGGCCGACTGAGAATATCATCCGATCTTTTAGCAATTAAAATCTTACTATTATTATAAATGCGAAAATTTGTGAGTTTGTATGTATATCATCATCAGCCTGTATTCGTCCACTGCTGGACATAGGCCTCTCCAATGGCGCGGCACTGAGCTCGGTCTTCAGCTCTTCTCATCCAACCACTGCCAGCCACCTTGCGGATGTCTTCACTCCACTATGTATATGTATATGTTTGTTACCATCACGTCATAATCGCTGAAGGGATCGGGATGAAATTTAGAACTTATAGTCTGGAACAACACATAGGCTCTTTTTGTCTCACGAGAATGCGAGCGAAGCCGCTGGCATAAGCAACTGTTTTATAATAATCTTTAAATTTTTATGCCCGAGTTGTTAGCTCAAAAACACCTATTTAATTGAATTATGTTTCACACTGGTAGGTAACATTTTTATTTTTTATTTTTTTATTTTATTTATTTATTTATTTATATCAGGCAACGAAGGCCCATATTAAAATACAATAATACTATAATATCTACTACAATTTTAACTTAAAATACTATAAATACATAATGTAAATAATAAATTAAAACACTAATTATCACGATTATTGTGCTACACACTACTATTGTGACTTTTATGCTACAAACTAAAATTAATAAACGGCTACATACATTATTTTTGATACGACTTGGAGCAAAAGGTTAGTTTTGATTGTATATCAAATTGATACATAAGTAGGTATTTTTAAATATAATGGACATCGAATGAATCAAATAACAACATTAATAAGACAGTAATGTTTAAATACATACACTCCTCATTAATAAGCAAGTTCCTAACGATACCACGACCATCCAAATTTTATTTATAAATAATACCTTTTATAACAATAAATAAATAATAATGTAATAAAACGAGTAACAACTAACGAACCTCTCTCACTTATATTCTAGGAAAATAAGAAAAATACGCGGTTTACGAAAGAAACGGACGAAGGTCGAAATAACCACAAACAACGAAGAATGTCTATAAATCCAAAAACCTAACAAATTCAACGAAAAGAGCTCGTTAAACAAAATTCGTACGCAGTAACTAGAAAAACTCCAATTAAAATAATACACCTAGCTAAGACCAGAACGAACAAATATCAGAACCAAATAGATTTTCTTTTAAAAAACTGAGACAATAATACCTACAACCGCCATTTTTCTTTGAAAATATCTCACTCATATGTTTTTATAAAAAACTTTTCACCCGGTTTCCAAGACAAAAAAGCTAGGTATCGAGCGACACAGTGACTAAAACAAAACTTTATAACATTAAAACCGTCATTTTCACAATAATTGTTAATTTTTGATGAGCAATTTCATATTTTCTTCAATAAAATATAAAAATCTCCCCAACATTACAAACGACAGCAAATTGTCAATCAAGCGTCTCCTTTGAATGACAGTTTGAAATTCGAATGTCGTTTCGATGATTACAACATTGGGAAAAAATGTGCCAGCAATAATTTTGTTTTTATTGTGATACAATCTTTTTGGTTTAAACGTTATTTTTTTAATTTGACAATTGATGTATTGTGTTTTTATAAATAAAAAGTTTTTATGTAATAATATTTATTTTGTCTTTTAAGAATTTTGCACACTTATTTAGACTGTGTTGGTGTGGGTAATTTGTTAAGTACGCTGAGTTTGTTCCTAGCAAAAAAAAAAGGTTATGTTCAAATTGGGAATATGGCTTGTGTTGAACAATAGTGTTAGACCGACTAGACACTAGTCATTTATCTACATCACGTTCTACCAAGACATCCTAGTATTTGTAAGCTCGTGGGCCTTTTTGGGCACTTTGCTCCTAAACCGTATAAAAATGTTTTTCTTTTCTCGTCTCCCTAATCCCCACATCAGTGTAACCTCGACCTTCCAACAGGGGATCTAACAAATTGAATTTCCTGGCTCATATATTTTAGTGCGTGCTGTGTAGCATTTTATTTTTCCGCAAAAATAAACAGATGTATAAAAATAGGAAGAGACAAGCTCTTAGCGCTCAATATCTGAAAGTAAACTAATTAGATCGTTGGTTATTCTAGATAGGTCAAAGATATTTGATATTCGTTGGATTAGGAGTAATAAAGTTATTTGTAGCAGGATCTAGAGTAGGTACTAATTAGGTAACTCGATAGTGTTTCACTGTGACTTTACTTTGAAAATTAGCGTATCAACTTCGGGAATTAATTTGATTTGTTAACTTACTTAACAATCAGTTGTAACATGATTAATCGTTATTTTATGTGTTCAAAAATGCTTGCAATGGTGTATGCGTCTTAGCTGTAACTGCAGAGTAGAATACGTACTTAAATGTCACCATCTCTACTCTTCTTGTGGGTACTGTCGGCCGACTAAATGGACTACAAAGATAAATACCCGTAGCGTAGTGCTCATTTTTTAAATCTGACTCGGAATTTATACGATGACCCCTTGCTCGGCTGTCGTACTTTCAACCAGTCGACCGACAAGGCAGTCTAAAAGCATTATACATAATATACATACATACAAGGTTATTTCACTCCATTTCCGTAGCAATACTATAGATTTATTGTTTTACCGTCAG